CTATTGCACAGTAAACTCTCTGTTGCTTGTGTCTCATTCAGAGTTTGGCGTTTGTTCACTGTTACAGTAGCTTCTTCGGCGTATGTTTATGATATTTTTTTTACATGAGACTAATTAAATGAAATCAATAGCTGTATGTTACTGTTCAAGTTCTAAACATGATTTTTCTTTTGCAGTCGAGGTGCAGTTTACTAAATACGTGTGCTAGTATAGAATACGATACACACACAATAGACTAAAAATTATTTATGTCGTCAATGAACTGAATCGGAGGACGACGATTACTTTGAGTCAATCGTCCTGGATATATTATTAACGATTTTTTTTAATTGTTCATCTATTGAGAAGTTAACCTCAGCACCACAGTAAGTTTGAGGCGCTGGGGAGTTATCAATAAAACAAACAAGAAGTAGCGTTCAGGTAGTGGAGATAAGAGTTACTCACAAAGAAAGATTGAGGACAGAAGATATATGCAGACACACCTGGGCGTGGCATCTCCTTTACAGTTTCATACAGAAAAATCACCTGAGATGACACGGGTATGTCGAGAAATACGCCCCATACTTTATATAATTATAGAACTATGTAGATCAAGTAGAAGATCTTGGACCATGCGCAGCACACATTCCTATGGTTTCTTAATCAAACGCAGCCAAATCGTTTTTTTCACTTACTGCTGATGGAGTCTGAAACTGTGGTCTTTATCATTCAACACGGTGGGGATATGTAGGTCTAAGCTCGAGGACCTAAATGAAAAGTGAACGAAGCCAAGCACATGGGCAGAATGATAATGAACAGGTTAAAAAAAAACTCCAACCCTATGGAGGTCAATAGGTTAACTTTGAGGTAATACAGTAATGCGTTATGTATGTCTGCAGCAACGTACGTAGGTCATTGAATAAAGATCTACCAGGCGAAGATGACCACAGACCTCGCTCAGTTGACCCCAAAACTCATCAGAGGAAGGCTGCGTCAAGTGGGTTGTTGGATTATCCAAGAAGTATAGCTACTATGTCTTGAGTTAGCTGGGAACAGGTCTGTGCCTCTCTGAGAGATGAGCTGGAGCAGAGGTGAAGGACGAGAATGTGAGACTGGGTGAGTCTGGGATAGGTGTCTATCACAGACCCACATGCCAACGAGCAATGGAAAGTATGGGAAATGGGGAGCGACAGGGCTTGTGGCAAAGACAAAAGCAACTAAGTGTGTTCTGGAGGACGAATTGAACGGTAAGAAGGACAACAAAAAAGATGGACACTGAAGGTAAAAAAAATATATAATAGTTGGTGATTCGCAGATAAGGTACTAAAGTACTACATAGATCGTCCCTTCTGTAACAAGGATGGGAGTAGTAGGACGAGGGTGTGTTTGTCAGGAGCTGGGGTGGGAGACATGGTAGAGAGGATGAGCAATATCATGTCTGACAATGGGAACAAATCTATTATCTGTCTCGGTATATGAGGCAACAATATTAGCAAGAGTAGGAGCGAAAACTCCTATGTACAAGGTTGCCACATATTGTATAAAGAGGAGGAATTCCTATCATAAGTGGTATCCTAGCGAGAAGGGGCGCTGAGAGTGAATGGTTGTCTAGGGCAATTGGTGTCAACGCCGGTTGGATAAATATTACAAGTCAATATCAGTTCCATTCGTCGACAACTGGGATACCTTCTACACCAGGAGAGACCTGTATGTAAGATATGGGATATGGGATGCATTTATCAAGGGACGGAATGACATCCCTGGCTAGCTCTTTGATGACAGTTGATAAGATGAAGCGGCCCTTAAACTGTAAGGTGAACATAGGAGATAAGGGTCGGGGAGACTGGTAGTAGGTGCGGGAATATGCAACGGAAGCGTAACAAGAAATTGTGTCAGGTAAAACAACAAAGCGAAATTAGACGGGGACAAAAGCCAGAACTTGGCAGAGGGAACTTTCACAAGAACACAAGAATGGAGGAAACTGCAGTGGGCCTATTGGTTTATACTAGGCAACTCTATTTACGCCCAACTCTTATCACTAATATATCTGCCCAACATATATTTAAAGCTCACAAACGAGTTCAAGTTAATGATAGTGTTTGCTGTTTAGTAACTTTTTCCGCTCATCCACAAATTTATTACCAAATTATTATCTACTTATTTCCAGCCTAAATCCAAATTTGTCTGACTTTAAACCAGACGAGTCCTGGATTTATTAATAAGCCTTGGTCTCCAAACAGTATATAGTGCAGTGGAATTATCACTACGACCCACTAAGTTTACGTCACACCTCAACAGACAAGAGCGTTTATTCTCTTGTTATGTGTTGACCCTACAGGTATATTGATTTAGTGACCACAAATTGAATATCTACGAATGCTTGTAGTTTTGTACCAGCTGAATCTTGATATACTTTGAAAGTGATAATGAAAGCATCTATGTAATAAAAATAACAATAAATGTTCAGTTATCACATTAATTTTGCTGTGTCTCATTAGAGTTGTAGCTCTAGGGAGAAGGCACTTAAAGAACACTCACACAGTCAGGAAATATTTGATCCTCTTACTCATTACTCTTATCTGATAAACTTCACTGCCTGCTGGACTGTACTGGTAGAGAACACAATTCACCAACCCGTGCTTAAGATTTGAACTACTGTTTATATATCGTACCATACATTAATTTTTGTATGATTGAAAATTTACGTACAAACAAAAAGGTAAGAATGATGCGCTGTGTGTGTGTGTGTGTGTGTGTGTGTGTGTGTGTGTGTGTGTGTGTGTGTGTGTGTGTGTGTGTAATAATAATAATAATAATAAACGGTTTATTAATAGAGTTGCAGCCAGTGGCTGAAAATATACAAACTTACATGTGATTTAGACATAATAATATACATTCAATACATTTACAGGGCTGTACAGTTCATAAATCAGGAACTGTTTATTAGTTTAACAATAGATGGGATGGTGCAGTTCTTATATCTATCAGTGCGGGCTCTTATGGGCTGAATTTTGTTTTAGTGGCGTACTGCTCCAGGTGAGCGCGGGACTGCAGGTGGCAGTAGGTGGCGATGACGAGGATGGTGCAGTAGTCCACTGCCAAATCCTGCTAGTGCGTGGTGGTGGAAGTCATTGAGGGAAGGCATTTCCAGGGTGGAGAGAGCGTTGTTGTATCCCGAGTAGTCTGCGCAGAGCATGATTCTGCAGGCTCTCTTCTGTACCTTCTGTGTGTGTGTGTTTGTGTGTGTGTGTGTGTGTGTGTGTGTGTGTGTGTGTGTGTGTGTGTGTGTGTGTTTTCCTATACCAATGTACGTACACTATAAACCTTGTGTGTATAAGCAATTGAATTTTAAATGATGATATTTATACCAACAAATATAACAGGAATACCCTTTCACACCCTCGTACTGTACCTGACTTATTAATATCATGTTGATTAACAATAGTATCAAGGAAAGGCATCTTGATGTACAGTATACGTTATCTATACCCCCCCATGCAGCATCAGTATTATAACCTAGGGTGTATTAAGCACCTTCACGTGGCTGGCCGAACCGGTAGGCGATGCACAGTAAGAATGGTGGATGATACTTCTGCTGATAAGAGACACAACGTCTCTTATCTGATGATAACTTATCGAACGGCGCTAAGAAGCCCTACTTTCACCCACAAATGAACTATACTCACTGAAGCTCTTTACGATACATCAGTTTGGGTTTTTTTTTTTAATAGTGGAATGTTTCTTATGTGTCACCTTAGGAGGAGTGAGAAATCAAGAAGCAGTAACATATTGCAGTGAGTCTTTGTCTTTCAATTTCATTTACCGAGAGAAGTTGAAAAAAAAAAGATTGATGCTGAGCTCCTTGCATTATCCTGTATCTGATTGGTGAAGCAAAATGAATCAGATATTAATTCTAATTATAAAAGAGAAAAAATCACCAAAGGAAGTCGAGACTCTATTACATGGAACAAATTGGTGTATCTACTACAATCTACACTATCATCTAAGCTAAATCCACTCCACTATGATCAGCACAATAGTATCTCCACTACCTACAATACTTTACATCCACCGCAATATTATCTACGTTTAAGCTCTACATCCACTAGGCTACCATCATCACACTATCTACACCAAATCCATTACATAACACTACACCTTTGGGCTAAACTACCTTCTGGAACCTTCTTGAGTGCATACATAATCTCATGCCAAATTTCAGCTCTATCGCAGCCTTCCAGTTCCACCAAACAGGCAGTGTGCTTTATACGAATATGTAGATGATGAGAGGCAGCAGCTACGAAGGTAAAGAGAAGAGAATATGAGCTGAGAGGCAGAAGTTAAAGTGTTCAAAGTGTAGTCTGTAGCAACTTGATCATCCACAATTGTTATGGAGTGCATAGCATAGAATGACCGCCTGCAAGGAGCACCATTTAGCAGTATTAAAACATTAACTACCATAAGATGTGAGCAACTGTCTTCCTATTTCCCTTACCGATAAACTATGAGGCCACTGACAGTTATCTTACCGCCACACCTGATGTGTCTGAAGTCTACCAACTACCTATCGGATTACTCTAAAGAAATACTACTCCACAATGACAAATCCCATGAAGGAAGATGATAGCACACGTAAGTTCTCAGTATACAGTCCTTTATCGTGAGATGTGTGGAGGAGAGTCATACAAGGAATGCTCCGATGAGGAAACTGTGGAGGCTGAGGTTTGATGACTGAGTGACTCCGTGTATCCCGCTGCTCGTACTTTTTACAACTACAAGTGTCAAACAAAAGGAAGTACAACTAACCACTCCATCACTGTAAATGGAGTTATTCTGCCCTTCAGTCTAAACTCTGAACACATTAACGTTGTATGGACACATCAGGAGTCGCCCTACACGTATGACCACCAATGTTAGTGTTCAGAAATACCTTCATCGTCACGAACATAACAATTTATGCAATACAACGCAGGTGCTATGCCTTACCCCACCCGGGAGGCCAACGTTTAGTGTCGTCTTACCTTCAAGTACCGCATGTTTGAGGTCCTAGAGACACACGATGAGTTCAGATCTTGCCTTCTATTTTCTCACATTAATATAACACTGTGACGTAATGGTTAACCCGGGATGTTTAGGCCTGGTGGGTGAGGGTGGCACTACACTAGCCGGCGTCACCACCTCCAGGACTAGACTGCCGCAGCTCAACAACACCGCCGGCATCACTTTTACTGAAACTGGTAATCCTTCCTAGTGAGATAAGAGGCTAAACCTTATGGTCTTTTTATCAATAATTATGTACGAGAGTGTCGCTCATATAACAAATAGTGTATATGATTGTTGTCCATTGTTCTGGACAGTTAAGGTGTGTTTCTCGTGTTATAACACAAAGATTCTGACGATACAGACTCTATAATATGGCACTGTATGCAGTGGCGTTCACTGGTGTCCAATGAGATTCTAGTATGCCAGGAAACCTTTATTATGATTGGTCACGATGTGGACAGATAACCCGGCCATACTGATACAGTTTTCTTATCTCTCTCTTGCCGGTGAGATAAGGAAAGTTTTATGGCCGATAAAGTGACATTGTTTCACCACCAAAAGTTATGTATGATTTGCTTTTGGTTCAACGCAGAACAAAGTATGTAAGTACGCAACAGTAAGCAGGTCAAATACTGAACTTGAACTCGTTGTGCTTTTATCCATCTATCATCTATCTATCTTTCTATCTGCTGCATTTATCTGTGTTCATCATACCAGCTCTCGTTCTCCAGCAAGATTATATAGGCACATTACGTCTTCTGTAATAATTCCTGCCATTGCACTCAACATTACCAAGCCTCTTACATAAATGATACCATTTTCTCTTTCCACATTGCTCTGTGTCTTCCTCTTCTCCTTTCAACTAATCCTATGTACTGTACACTGTTACTTAAACACTAAGTAATCTAATCTTTAATTTCTGTCATCCAATCCTCCATGTATGCCTATTCATTATTTACTCATTACCCTTTGTAGTTTTCATGCAGGCTTCAAAGAAATCCATCTATATCTTTTTGTATTCTCCCTGACAATTTTCCATCACACCGCCATGTTTCACTCCCTTGTATCAGAGTGAACTGAACCCTGGCCTCCTGCACACTTTATCAACACCTGTAAATGTATATGATTACCCATTAGAGTTCTATTGCCTATCATTTTTTTTTTCATTTTTTCTCGGTATTTTAGCTTTTCTTCCTCATTCCTACAGGAAATATTAAGCAAGGAATGAAAACATCGGATCCTCTCAAATTTTTCTTCTCCCAACCTAATTTCATACTTCTTCACTTCTTTCAGTTATCATTATTTATCATTTATTATCACTATCCATCTTCTTCAAACTATGATACACTTGTTCATATTCGCTTTACAATGTTGTAAAGCTCCTCTACCTATTCAGCCATTAGAACACAGGGCGATTCATAATAATTTATTCACCTTTGTGGATATGCAATTTGAACTATTTTGTAGAGTAACATTATAAGAATCTTTAATAGCAAGGCTCACTAATTGACCATTTTCACGTAGACACAAATAATAGCGTAATCAACATATACTGGATAGCTTATGTTTACGTACGAAGTCAGTGTATACAAGGCGCTATAGGGAAGAACATAAGTAAATGATGCAAAAACAAGGTAAATAAGTATTTTGTTTTAATATGTATAACTCTGCCATTAATAAAGGTTTCGTTGGAATGTAACTGTTCCAATAGATTTACTTATGTGGTTTTACGATATTACAAAATTCTTCTGCAAAATCATCATTGTCACCCCAGTAAACAGGTCCAAGTGAGTTGATGGATGGTTAGTATAGTTAGCCACAGTGACCGACCTATCACTCTAGGCCAGACTTGGGGGTTTAATGCTCGTTCCCCTTGACCTTCATCCATCGGTTTCACTCCCCCTCCCACCCGTTCCCACGACCCAACCAAACCTCCACGTTCTCATGACCTGACCTCATCATTGGAGCGTTCCACGTTCACTTAACTGACCTCATTTCACTTTCTTACTTCACTAGAAACATCGTGAATAATGTATAATCGTCACTTGCCGCACCACGTCTTTAACTCGTAAGGTAGATGGTAAATAGTGTACTGTAGTGTTTAATTTATTGGATGACGTAACAGTGGTGACGGTGACGCTATGGGGCACCTTGTAGTGGAAGAGGCTTTGGTTCTTAGTAATACGTAATAGTTTTATCAATAACACTTATATCTTCCCAGCCTCGGGTACTTGACACAGGGGGGAAAACACATCTCGACCTCATTAATGAATCTTTTTTTTTTTTTTTACAAGAAACGATTTTAATTTTAGGCTGTTTTGACAATGTTCTCAAGCAGGTTGTGTTACTATTAATATATAATGGTGCATAGTCTTGTTTATTTCGTTGATATATTGACTAAGAAGAAGCCATGAACACCCATTAAATACATCGCAAAAGTAGGTACAAAATCACACGTTAGTTGTGTCACTCTCCTCCAGGAATAAACCATTTAAAACTCCACTCAAACAACTCCTTCGTCCACAAAATAAGGAGCGAATATGAGAAATCAACTAAAAAATTTACCTTAACTAACCATAAAGCCACTGTTAAAATTATGATGAATTTCTTTTCCATTGGACTTATGGTAACAATGTAATCTCTCTCTGTATACTCTTGTGATTTTTATATATTTAATTGAGAAGTATCGGGACGGTGTGATAGCTCAGCCACTGAAGACAGCGTAAGCAAGTGGGAACAACAATGAGAAAAGTCAAATGAATTTTGTTATTTATAAAGATAGGAAAATGATCCTTCATCTTCATTAGTCTCGCGTACGTCCCAGCCTGGATTACCGTATACATGCCTGCAAACACTACCTCCAGAAAGACTTAGCATCCCTAGAAAAGATACAACACAAAGCGACAAGATGATTCCAGAACTATATCACCTAGGGACTTTTTTTTAACATGTATATAATAGTGGGTCAATGGCCCTTGTATTTGGTCCACTAGTTGTATTCTATTGGCCCACTGTGAGCTTCAAAATAACCCATGGCCAAATTATCAAGAACAACGGAGGAATCCTATACAGGCCACTGGTCTCCTTCCCTCGGCATGGCCACCTCTAGTAGGTGGCCATTAGGTAAATAAGGTAAATTATACGGAAGTGAGAAAAACTTATTGTACCGTATACAATTTTAAAATATTTCGCAGTCTAGCATTTCAAACGCTCATTTTCTTTGGAAACGAAGACAAAATAATGAGTTCTCTTTAGGGGTTACTTAAACTTTTATGGGTCTTTGACTACTGAAGAAAACTCAACTTACGCAAAAAACAAAACATAGAGATACATTTTACTTGTGATGCTGTTATTCTGCATGTGTCTCCTCACTCTATATAATGGTGAACTGCGGTGAAATGTTGTGTACAAAATACAGTACGAATAAAACGAGGAAAAAATGCCATAACGTATTCAGTAACTGTACTTTGCATAGGATAATGTGCGTGGCGACCGAATATTGTGTTAACAATAATTGCAAATTGTGCGATCTAATGCAAGATTTATTTTTTGAAAATAAAGTAACAGATGGTATACAAGCTTTACGGTGTTAGGACATAAATGCCAGAAGCAGTGTAAATAGATCTAATGTACTATGTTCGTAATACAAAAGGACCGTATAAGTTATGTCACGGGTAGCAAGATGCCAATTAATTTTACCATGGTATCAGTATCACGGTCTATCTGCTCCCCTAATCCAAAACATCCTCTTGACCACTGCACATGCGTCAGATTCGTTATTCCCAAGCGCTTTCGTGTAATTCACATCTTCAGGGGTGAGTACAGACTATATATATAATTATATTCGTGTTTCTTCTTTCCTTGTGGTTATCAGCATATACCTAGATCATACAGTGATTTACTATATATATATATATATATATATATATATATATATATATATATATATATATATATATATATATATATATATATATATATATATATATATATATATATATCCACCCAGCCTATTTGCTCCCCATTTGAACAATTTTATCAACAAGGACAACAAGAAACTAATATTGTATACAACATATTTAGACAAGGGTGATTTCTGACAGAGAAATATGAACTTGGCGTGAGGGCCCCAGGGGGATTGTGTAAACCAGCAACAAAAGGGAGTGATAAGGCCAGTTTAGTTTCTCCTCCTCTTGGTATACTGTACAGTATGCTCTCCCCTTGCTCTGATCATAGTTGATTTTTACGTTGTACTTATAGACCTTAAGCAAACTACGTTCAGATCAATTGAAAATTCAGCACCTCAGTTTATATTAACTTCATATTAACCTCCATAACAATAACCTAACCTAACCCCGTCCCCCAAATAGCGTTAAGGTGTTTTATCATTACAGTAGTTGTATCCAATGTTGTAATTAAGTGTACTTGTCTTATTCATTTTCTTGCAGTAGAAGGAAAAATAAATAATAATTAATATGAGGGAATAGTAGAAGAAATATTAATGGGCAAAGTTGAGGGTAGGCGGGTCAGGGTAAGACTGGGATGGATGAATGAAATTAAAATATGGGTCCCCAGAGAGATGGAACACCTTGGAGGATTGGTAAAAACAACTCGAAAAAGTTTAGAGAGGAGGACTGTGGTCGCCAACCCTCAGATATAAGGATGTTACTTTAATTGATTGATTGCTTATCTATGTTGCACGTTTTCCAAAAAGGATACATAATAATTTTGGATTTATTGAACTCAATTTAAATATAAAATCATCTGCGTGTGTGTGTGTGTGTGTGTGTGTGTGTACAGGTCCCCAGCCGTCACCAATACCTCGTCTCTAGCCTGACCAAATATCCATCCTTTTACAGACAGGCCTGGCACTTGATATTATTAGAGACCTGCCACGTTTTACCATAAACAGATGAATTGTGTCGTCTAAAAAGGCTCTCAATATTTCGATGAGGTTACTAGGACAAAAGTCAAGGACAATTCAACACATAACAATCTCATTAACCACGCAATGGTCATGCTAACTTGAGAGTATCATTACTGTATCACTATGTCACATCCCCGGAGCCTATAACCTCAGCAGGATGTACTGTTATGCCTGTATCCTGGTATTGTAATTCTAGGTCAGTGTGGAACCTGCCCAGCCTACAAATGGTAACCTCGATCCCTCCCACCGTCTCCCATCCTACCCACTCCTAGGCGTCCTCTCACGTAATCTCTTCCTCGTCTGTCTGAAAGAAAGTTTCTGCTTGTTTAATTCCGCTGGTGATTCGATGAGTTTAATAGTAAAACACACTATTGGGTAGTTTTGTCGCAGTTGTTTTCAGCGTTTCCAATTTAGAACTTCTTGCTTACGGCGACTTATTTCAAATTGAAAATTTTGCTGGCTGTCACAAATTATTATGCAACACACACACACACACTGTATACTGATTTCACTACGTCTTCCACGAACAACTGTATTAAATTTACGTCTTGTGCCATTGTGATTTAAATGTGCCCCACAATCACCTGCTCTCTCTTTTAGATGCAATATACTGTAGACCTATAAACATAATACATAGCCTTAAAGTATTCCCACATATTAACAAGCCACACTCGCTATTGACACAGCTTCATACACTCACTACACCCTATGTTCAACGTACACCTGATGAGACGAGGATACGGTAAAACGTCATGTTATTGTGTTTCTCAGCTTGTCAGTTTTCTCCCAGTGGTACCGGAAAGTAAGTCTAAGAAAGTGAAGGAAAATTTTAACATATTTCTGTCTAATGAATAACACTGAGACGTGTAGTTCATCACTAGGGTGTATAGGAGGTTTACGTTGTGCGTTCCTCCGCATCCGAAACTAACAGAAGTTGAGGGAGAAACTAGGACACTTCCTGACCGGGGCACATGACGTCCTTGGCGCCAACCATCTCCAGCAGGCGACAACTGTCACCACCATTAGTTGAACGTATTTGGGAAGTATTATTATTTCGGTGAATTAGTTTGTCAAAGTAAACCTTCGGTATTCTTTATATGTATTTCTTAACTTGGTAATGCTTTACTGTAATAGTATGGCTGTGCTGGGCATCCCGCCATCAATGACGCTGGTCGGAATGGGTTCAGTGCTCCCGAGTGGTGTCAGGTGCAGCGAGTCACCAGATATACAATTACATCAGTCATGTATTGGTCATAAGACATAATTTAAGCATCACCGGAAAAAATACGACCTTATTTATAAACACAGAAACACACACAAAAAATATATATATATAGGCTTCTAAGTGGTATTTTGATTACGTAAGGCAGTTTCTCCTTGTCGAGTGTGGTTGCTACGTCACACGAACAAACGTCTGGGCGACCGCCTACCAGAAGTTTAGGATATCCTCCTCGGTCGACCACCACACTCCCGCGCGCACACCTGAAGGAGTAACGTCTCGCCTGGTGGTGGTGGCACGAAAGCAGTTGTCAGTGAATCGTAATTCCCTTCAATCAAGGTGAGCATGATGGATACCTGCTAAGTTTTTACTGGTCTAGTAATCTCATACTAAGTACTTCAAGAAGTATCAGGATTTCTTGTGTTTACCAACAGTTGTAGTACTGATAGATGGCAGAGTATAGAAGACTGTACTACTACAGAAACTTGCCCAATGTATTTATTTATTTTTACTTGTGTAATGATGTTCGGGACTATATGAAGACGTACAAAACGGCATATAAAACCCAATTAGTTTATACAGGATATCAGCAGGATAACAATCTGCACTACCTTGTACTGATTATCTGGATTTAACTTCCTCGATATTTTATGGTGCCGTGGTGATGGTAATTACTCAGTAGTCAGCAGTGTCCCAGGAATTATTTTTTTTCGGGGATTAGCCCACCCGGGCACAGGTAACTGGCCCACATCGGGGCCTGGGGGGCGAAAATGTAATAATTATTCATCATAAATAAAATTTATAATAAAAGTAAAATATAATAATAATAATAACACTGTAATAATATTAATAATAAAGAACGATAAAGAAATACAAAAAAAATCAATAGTGAGAAATTCTATATGTATGTTGTGTTGTCAAGTAAGAGAAACAATTGAGACCCTGCAATTGTGTGTAAATGAGGCAGAAAGTCAGATTAGAAACCTGGGACTTGGTCACAATTTTCGTGATGCCATATAGCAGAAGGGTCTACCATTAGACAACACATTATGCTTCCAATATATTCTCAGGCGGTAGTACCTCCCTGTTTGGTAGCTGCCTACTACCTACTACAATATAAACTTAATGCTATACTAATACTGGTAAATGTTACTCGGTCCAAGAATGTAAATGGCGACTCTGTTTTATATGCTTGTGTTTGTTCTCGCGTTTGAAAATGTACAATCCTCTCGAAATTTTGTAAGGCAGTTTTGGTGACGGTCAATGAACAGGAATTAATTTTAGTTATAATGCCTTAACACTACAAGTTCTAGAAAAAAAAAATAGAACTGTCACCGGCCTTATAAAGAAGATAACTTTCACTGAAGAAAGGACTCGTCAGTTTTCGGACACCATATATAAATTTCATGTGTACTGTATAACATAGAAAGCAGTATGGTGATGCTATGACTCATTTCATATGTTAACTTAATCCTCTGTGTATGTGTGTGTGTGTGTGTGTGCGTGTGCGCGTGTGTGTGTGTGTGTGTATGTGTGTTTTCATATGTTAGTTTTAGTGTTTTAAGTTTGTGAACGATACTGTATACCTAAGTGTGAAGCCATGTGTACGTGAGTGTATATTTTCCAAGTTGATACAGAAGTTTTGAATTATGATATCGAAAATTTTTGCCTTCAAACCAAAGTTGTCATTGAACCCTCATGCTTCCATCTTACACTCTCACGTCCAACCTTCACAATCGACTCTGGCTCCTTTCCACCTATACTCTCACCTTCCCTACAATACCCTCACGTCCTTACCCCCCTGAGCTCTCACCCTCCTCGCCCCACATAATACTCTAACCTCCCCCTCCTCCTACTTAACCCCGACCTCTCCCTTCCCTCCCCCACACTCACTTCCACCCCCCCTACCCGACCTTTACTTCTATATCCTCAGTGAGGTGAAAGACGGAATAGCCTGGATGACCTCAATCCTGCCTCGCCTCCTCCCATACACTGTCCAAGAAACCTGATATTGAAGGCCTCCACGGAAGTATGTCACGTGTGTGTGAGTGTGTGTGTGTGTGTGTGTGTGTGTGTGTGTGTGTGTGTGTGTGTGTGTGTGTGACCCAAGGCAGCAGCAGCAGCAGCAGCTTTAGATACTGAAGTAGGTCACAATTCTTTAAGTCGCGTGACTTGACTGAGCCCCACCTCCCAACCACAGGCTTCGTAAACGTCGAATCTATGTTTGACATTATGTATTAGTCTTTTTAGCTTTTCCTTTCTCACCACTTGTGGATTTTGAGACATAAATAATTCAGCAGTTCCATCTTGCACTGATGTGTACAGTCGACTGAGTGAAGTCGTCACCACCAGCTCTGGTCCTGCCTCCGTTTGTTACATTTGTTTAGTCACAGTACTATAGTCAATAGCTGCTCAGATCAGAGTTTTAATTGATGATATTGTTTAGACGTCACTCTAATTACGCTTATTTTGTTTTTCATGCCCATATTAAATGTATTTTATCCTATAGAAGACAAAAACAAAAACAAAAAATACGATTCTTAAGAAAATAGTGTTTAAGTCAATCTTTTTTTTCAATGAAGAAACTTTTAAGTCAAATATTCTTGTTACAATCTTTCTCACGATACCAAAATTTGTTTCTTTGATCTTGTTATCGTTGTTTCCTCTCAAGGGGGAGGATGGGAGTGAGATGAATCCCTCTCCCCCTTACATCGTCACAGTAAGTAGGTTCCTCATATTTCATTCATTTTACCATCCCTCACATTGTTCTCATGCTCTCTCACACAGACTACATCTCCTGCTAGTACACGATGACTTGGGTACTACCGACGCTGCTGGTGGCGATCTACCTGTTGACTGTTGCCTCCGCTTTCACCACCGATTTAAATGAACCTAATCCCTTCGATCTGCTCCAAGTGGCGACGGAAAAGATCTTCCTAGATGATGGCATTAAAGGTAAGAACAGTAACGAATGTATTAAACTTTCGGTGACTTGATATATTTTTGTTCCTCTATTGTAGTTATGTTTAATCACGAATAAACCGCGGAGGAAGGGTCGACAAGTTCGATTTCAAATTATACATTATTACGAGTGTTTGTCGTGTTACTAAGACAATTATCAAGTTAACGTGGTAGATATGGTGAACACATGTTATTTGCCCTGATACATAGCCTTGACACATGACACTGGCACATGACACTGACACACAAAACTGATAATAACAATGACACCCGATTGAGTCTGACGCATGACATTAACACTTACTTACTAGCACATGTCACTGATACATGACACTGCCACATGACAATGACACAGCTCCACAATACTTCATGACCAACACACACCTCCACAACACCTCATGACCACAACACACCTCCACAACACCTCATGACCACAACACACCTCCACAACACCTCATGACCACAACACACCTCCACAACACCTCATGACCACAACACACCTCCACAACACCTCATGACCAACACACACCTCCACAACACCTCATGACCACAACACACCTCCACAACACCTCATGACCACAACACACCTCCACAACACCTCATGACCACACAACACACACACACACACTCACACACACACCTCCACAACACATGACCACAACACACCACAACACCATGACCACAACACACCTCCACAACACCTCATGACCACAACACACCTCCACAACACCTCATGACCAACACACACACAACACCTCATGACCAACACACACCTCCACAACACCTGACCAACACACACCCCCACAACACCTCATGACCAACACACCTCCACAACACCTCATGACCAACACACACCTCCACAACACCTCATAACCAACACGCACCTCCACAACACCTCATGACCACAACACCATGACCACAACACACACCTCCACAACACCTCATGACCACAACACACCTCCACAACACCATGACCAACAACACCCACAACACCTCATGACCACAACACACCTCCACAACACTCTCATGACCAATACACACCTCCACAACACCTCATGACCACAACACACCTCCACAACACCTCATGAGACCAACACACGCACTCCACAACACCTCATGACCAACACGCACCCCACACACTTAAGACCACAACACACTTCCACAACACCTTGCGACCACAACACACCCACAACACTATGACCAACACGTACACCTCCACAACACCTCATGACCACAAATACACTTCCACAACACTCATGACCACAACACACTCCACAACACCCTCATGACCAACACACACCCCACAACACACCATGACCACAACACACTCCACAACACTCCAAGACCAACACGCACTCCCACAACACCATGACCACAACACACCTCCACAACACCTCATGACCACAACACACCCACAACACCTCATGACCACAACACACCCCACAACACACCTCATGACCACAACATACCCCCACAACACCTCATGACCAACACGCACCTCCCCACAACACCTCATGACCACAACACACCTCCACAACATTCATGACCACAACACACCCACAACACACCTCACACCTGGGCCAACACACTCCACAACACCTCATGACCAACACACACCCACAACACCTCATGACCAACACACCTCCACAACACCCCAGACCAACACACACCTCCACAACACCTCATGACCAACACACACCTCCACAACACCTCATGACCACAACACACCCCACACCACTCACACCACAACACACCTCCACAACACCATGACCAACACACACCCACAACACCTCATGACCATAACACACCCGCCAACACCTCCTGACCACAACACACCCCACAACACCTCATGACCACACTCACCTCCCCACACCTCACACCACAACACTACACTAGCTAACACACCTCTCCACAACACCTGCGAGACCACAACACCTCCCCACAAACACCTCATGACCACAACACACGCCACACCTCATGACCAACACACACCTCCACAACACCCTCATGACCACAACACACCCCACAATAATACACTCTCTGCCACACCCCATGAACAACACACCTCCTCAACACCTCATGACCACAACACACCTCCACAACACCTCATGACCACAACACCTGTCAACAACACCTCATGACCACAACACACACCCACAACACCTCATGGACCAACACGCACCCCCACAACACCATGACCAACACACACCTCCACAACACCTCATGACCTCAACACACACTATTGAACACCTCATGACCACAACACTTCCACAACACCCCCATGACCACAACACACCCACAACACCCCATGACCAACACACACCTCCACAACACCTCATGACCACAACACACCTCCACAACACTCATGACCACAACACACACTCACAACACCTCATGACCACACAACACACCTCCACAACACCTCATGACCACAACACACTCCACAACACTCCATGACCAACACATACCCCCAACACCATGACTACAACACACCTCCACAACACCTCACAGACCAACACACCTCCACAACACCTCATGACCAAATTACACACCTCCACAACACCTCATGACCACAAACACCCCACAACACCATGATCACAACACACTCCACACAACACCTCATGACCACAACATGCCACCTCAACCCTTGAAGGACCACAACACACCTCAACACTCTCAAGTGAGATCACAACACACCTCCACAACACCTCATACCCAACACACCCCACAACACCTCACATGACCACAACAACACACCCCACAACACCGCATGACCACACACCCTCAACACTTAAGGACTCCACAACAACACACCTCCACAACACCTCACACGCACACTCCACAACACCGGGCATGACCACACACCTCCACAACACACCTCATGACCACAACACACCTCCACAACACCACAGACCACAACATACCCACAACACCTCATGACCACAACACACTTCCACAACACCCCATGACCACAACACTCCACAACACCCCATGACCACAACACACTCCACAACACCTGACCACAACACACTCCACAACACCTCATGACCACAACACACCTCCACACAACACCTCATGACCAACACACACCTCCACAACACTCCCATAACCAACACACACCTCCACAACACCCTCACAGACCACAACACACCTCCACAACACCTCATGACCACAACACACCCCACAACACCTCATGACCAACACACACTTCCACACACCTCATGACCACACACCTCCACACAACACCTCATGACCACAACACACTCCCAACACCTCATGACCACACACACCTCCACAACACCCCATTATCACACACACCCCACAACACCGCATGACCACAACACACTCCACAACACTCATGACCACAACACACCCACAACACCATGACCACAACACACCTCCACAACACTTCATGACCCAACACACACCCCCACAACACCAAGACCAACACACACCTCAAATACCTCATGACCAACACGCACCTCCACAACACCAAGTGACCAACACACTTCACAACACCTCATGACCAACACACACACCCACACAACACCTCACATGACCACAACACACTCCACAACACTCATGACCACAACACACCTCCACAACACCTGCCATGACCACAACACACCTCCACAACACACCTCATGACCAACACACACACCCCACAACACCTCATGACCAACACACACCTCCCATTAACACTCATGACCAACACGCACCTCCACAACACTTTCATGACCACAACACACACCTCCACAACACCTCATGACCAACACACACCTTCCACAACACTCTCATGACCACAACACACTTCCACACAACACCTCATGACCACAACACACTCCACAAACACTCCTCATGACCACAACACACTTCCACACAACACCATGACCAACACGCACCTCCACAACACCTCATGACCAACACTTCACCAACACCTCATAACCACAACAACTATACACAGGCTCACCATCTCGGTTTAATATTTTGATGCTTGTCCTTTTTCTCATATTTAATTTTCTCTACATATTTGTTCTCTATCCTGATCCTACAATCGTCTCACTGTTTCTGTCTCTCTCTCTCTCCATCTATCTGTCTGCCTATCGCATTGCTTGTCTCTTGTTTCTGCCCGTCTGGTGGGCTGTATGTAATGTGGAAAGTATCTTCACGTAATGGTGGCTGTAAGTTGATGTAATGGTGGCAGTTAATGTGAAATTTGTCGACAGTAACTACCGAATGTGTTGAGCAGTAGGTATAGACAGTGGCAGACAATGAACAGTGTTAGATAGTAACTGTACAGTTTAAGTACCAGGAGGCTGTACATGTAGTTAATACCATATTAACACCAGTTAGAGGTGCAAAATATCTGCTAACAGCTGCGGACAGTAATAATGTAGAATTTGGTGGACAGTAGCAATATGTAATGTGAGCAATAAATGAAAGGCGTGGATGGAAAACTCTATATATATATATATATATATATATATATATATATATATATATATATATATATATATATATATATATGTATATATATAAACAAATATCGCAAAGTGAGAGACATTAGATGAAATGGTCGTAGGCAGTGTGCTGACGCAGGTCCACCGGCAGGCGGCCTTGGCGTGTTTCTGGGGCAGTTAGTAACCTATTGGCTGCTCATCCTTGCTGCTCTTCCTCATCGTCGTTCTCTTCGCCCCTGCGTTCGTGGGTCGAAGCCTTCTGGGACTTATGGGCGATGCTGTCGGCGGCCCAGTCCGGTGATGACTTGGGTATCCTACAGCGCGTGATGAACAGGTGAGTGCTGCCATCATTTAGCTGAGATACTTCCCCCCCCCTGCACAGATATGCTCTCCGTGTTCGCCATCCAGGGAATCGTTACAGTCGCAGTAGTGATAGGAGTAATCTTCCTGTTCCGGGAACTCGGCCTAGCCCTCAAATCTGGACTCTACCCGGAGGAAGATTCCGAGGAGGCTTCCTACAGTGAGCCATACGTTGCCTACTATGACCAACCCAGCTCTTACGCCTCCATCGGCTATCAGAGCAGTCAACGTTCCTTAGGGAAAAGAGAGTCCTTACTTACACGGGTTCTCAACAGGTGAGTCATCCATTATACAGAAGTTCTCAAGAGGTGAGTAACTTTTTCCCCATACTGACTCTCCATACGTGTCTTTTCATTTGTGGATTAGTATCAAAGATGTAGTCATTTAAATCCTTCGAGTGACAACCAGATAAAGTAACATTCAGACACCAAAATCATAGAGGCATGTCAATTTCTTAAAACAAAAATTATATTGTACACTGCAGGGTATAGCGGTATAGAAAGTGATGTGTGTCAGATAACCGGTGTACACTAATACTAGTAGCAAGACCATTTCTATCTGGCTCACAAATACAACTTATAGAGAGATGATATAATACAGCTCATACCATTTGCAGTGTGTGACGCCAGTGGTGAACGTTCAGTAAAAAAAGAAAATGAGTTGCCAATATAAACGTCTTTCATCAATATATTAAATAATTTGAAATATGTAACTAATAGATTCACAAAAATAAATACATGTAGTTGTCATGCTGTTTCGGGTCACATAAAAATCGTGTAGTAGCTGTGTCTCAAAGCTGCCAGTCAAGAAGAGCACGAGTCAGCAGATCAGATACATTATGCTGTGATGTTCTTAGTGATTCACCAAGTAAAGGATATGTCAGTTTTTTATTCAAATTTTATATCTATTTTGTGTATACCTATTTTTTTCTTTTGAGGTCACATTTCTGCATTATTTTCGTGTTTAACTTAAAATAACAAATCACAATAAACTATGTTATCTATATATTTGTTTAACAGAAAGCAACGAAGCAAATCAGCCTTTTCTTTAAGATTCAGGTTTACAAGGAACTCTTGCAGTGAGTGACATACAGTATATAGATCACCTACAGATTTTTTATTATACTTTATATTATAGAAATTTATGCAATAAAAACAGAGACTTTTGGAATAAAATTCAAGGAAAAGCAGCCTCAGTTCTATGCATGTAATGAAATTTATGACAAATGAAGAGTTTAGGCCAGAGTAGCGGGACTTATCTATGCATTCCACAAAAATTATTTTTTAGGATAAATTGTACAGTCGCAGATTTCAAAGTTTTGGGTGAAATTATTCTTAATCTATCGTTTGTTGTATCAGCATCGACCCAGTGGAGTCGGCGTTCGCCTTGATGGATGTGGAGGAAGTGGCCTGTCGGAGACGCACCGTGTGTGAGCTACAGAGAGCCGCCTCCAGGATGCCTATCATAGCTTCCCTCGTCCAGTATATCAGGTGAGTATCTTGTATGACGTATTAGGTGAGAGGCTCCAGTATAAATCAGGTGAGTAGTTCCAGTAATTAATGAGGTGAGTGGCCCCTATAATATACAATAAGTGAGTGAAGTATTTGCTCCTTCATTAGTGTTTTAGGGGAGCAGTTAGCATATAACTTCATTCAATCAAGTATCTCAATCGTGCAGTGTTAACTTCTCCCAAAATCTCTTAACCATGTGATTTTTTGCTTGAAGTTTAACTGACCTTACCGAACAATACGCACGTTAATGAAGCTCTCTTCTCTTTACTCTCCAGTCCATCAATCAGTGGCCTGGAGGAATACAAGGAGGCGCAAGATGCTGGTGCCGCCTTGGAGGACTGCGCGTTGCTATTCTCCGAGTGTCCCACCTCCTTGGTCCAGAATGTATGGGGCGACGACCAGGTAAACCTCCACACACGCCAGCGGCTCTCTCCACTGCCTTGACTGTACACTCGTCCTGCGCAAAGTTTATAGAAGGCGATGATGCTTCGTACAACATGCCCTTATTGTGATGTCGACCGTTTGAAAAGTTAAAATATGTTTTCGAAATTTAACATATAACTACATAGAAATTCATTCAGTTATAATGTACCTAAATACACAAAAAGGGCCGTGATAGAGTAGATTAAAAGAAAATATCACGTTAATGTGAGGTATATCAATAATGTTAAAGTGATCAAAAGAAATGGGGGATATTATAATTAAATTCAACTTTGGTAGCTGTTTATAAAGCACACTAATCTGTAGTTCTGGTTAACTTTGCGTCACTGTTATTTAGTAATTAATAGATCATTAATTTCAGTTTATAACAAAATCAATGTTGTTTTCCGCAGTCTGCCAAGAGGATGCAGACAGCTGTTGTATTAGATGTTGACTTATGGCCAGTAAAGGCGTAACGACTTGTTCGCGCCAGTAACACAACTTAGTCACTTCTCGTCAAAACAGTGAATAAATGGTATTAATATTTAGCATGTATTTATTTGAATATATTTATATGTTTAGTTTAATTTATGTTTATTTTTTTAGATTATTACCAAGTGACCAATATCACAATTCTCTGTTGACCAAAAATCTTCTTTAGATCCTTATTGTCATAAGAAAAACTCAACAGTCCTACACTCCTCAACTAACATGTTCTTGTCTTTATAACGTGCATGATATAGTTCTGTGTATCATGTTAACATAACCAATTCCTTAACATCCCGAAAGACAACATGTTATTTCGGACAACTTCTCAGAATCTTAGTCTATTACATATTGTCTTAAGAGATTCCATACTTCTATAGAAACTACATGTTATAGTCTTTGAGCTGTCTCTCAAAATATTATGGATTTCTTTCAACTAGACGCCATTAACACCGAATTGTCTCCACTTTGTCCGGTTAATTTACCAATGACAGATTAAATACTGTCTTTACTATCTAGACGCTAATTTGACCGATAACTCCCCCACTTCCCTTACTTCTGACTGACCTCTGAGTTTTCAATGCGCAAAGACTGCTAAGTGAACCGATTAAATACTACCATGACTAACTTGAAGAACTCTACCCTGCAGACTCTCTAAATCAACGCTTTCTTGACAGATTACACGCCATATTAAACGACCTAGACGTGACCAAGATAGAATAAACGCTACCATGACCAGTACCAACTTGATCGATAGTAGTTAATCTGGCTGTCGAAACCCTGATTAATACGATTGTCTATCATGCCAGATTGAAACTACAGTTCCTTGACTCGCCAAATGTTATCTTATCCAGTTGTTTAACTTAACCGAATGTGCATCAAATTCAGTTGTTTGTTGTCTCCTGTGTTCAATATTTCCTGCTTTGACCGCCGGTAATGATGTGCAGTACCTTGAGACTATACATCTTCTGACTGCCATATGTGATTATACTTTGATTGCCTATAAGATACACCCTGACGACCTATATCTCCATTGAGAGTCTACAGTATATGATATCTTGACTGCCTATAAATATCCTATGGCTGCTAATGTATAAATTGCTATCTCCTTTCACATGTATATATCAACCAACTTAATCTCGACTAACTAAAGCGTTGTATCAACTATATGTTATTTTGACCGACGATATATAATTTTGGACAACTTTACGCTATTCTGACCGATTATATACTATTTAGAGTGCCTGTATGCTACAGTGACCGTCTGTAAATTTTTTTGATTGATTTCATAAATCATTTTGACTGACTGTGTTCTCTTTTGACCACTCATTTACTATTCTGACCGACAGTATTATGACTGACTGTATGACCTCCCGACCAACGCTGTGTTATCATGACTGACTATATATCATATTGACCTACTAAGGGAGTTTATTATCATCCATCAATGCACTAACACAAAGGATCAGAAATTAAACCCAAACTACTGAAACGTGACGTGGCACGACCTAATACGACCTTGGACGACTGTATTCCATTTTGGATCTTTACACAAAACACTCTGGGTTCAATGTCCTCGATGTTCTAAGTGAATTTACAGCCCAATACTAGCAATCCTTCAAGTATGACCCGACTCTTCATCCTGAGATGATCTTTTAACACAATTTTTATTATGTTCTTACTGTCCATAAACTGATACGATCAGCTCAGAGATATAATTGTTACACTAATAATAAGCAAACAAGGTACATGAGAAATACAACGATAAGGTAGTTTTTGTTTACTTTTGTGAGTTGTGTGTTCATTTCTTGGTATGGTTCACGTGAGCCTTATGCTGGTTGCGGGTTCCTCACTCTCAAATGTCTTCTTAGTTGTAATAATTTATTGTTCTTTGTTAAATAAATAAATTTCCTTTTTGTATTGTTTGTTCTCCTTAAAAAAATTCGTTAAGGTTAGTAAGAATTATGTACAGTTGTCTCCAGATGAACGTAGTGCCATAGCTATGGTATGGGTACCCGCCCCTCAGCTTGGGAGTACGAGGTGTGACGACTCAGTGCCTTAGTCAGGACTGAATGCATGGGAGTCAGTGAAATTACCCTGTTTGTGATAAGATACAAACAATAAAGGATGTAAAAATATAAACGAACTCTGTAATATGTGTTATGCAACAGCGGTGTGTAGCCATCAAACAAGGTATTCCACGGATTCACGTCCATGTCTACTGCGCTGCGATGCCACTTCTCATACCCGAGTCCCCAAATGCTCCCAGGTCGTAGTACGTTCATGTGGAGGCAACTGTACCACGTGATTATAGAGTAGAAACTAAAGGATGAAAGTGAACTGATGGAGGATTTCCTCTACATTCTTCTGAGAGACAATTCTCCTTATGTTTCTCACAAGCCTATATTAGCATCTTCCTGACTTTTATAAACATTATATTTTATTTCTTTGTATTTCTAGATATCAGATAAAGGATACCATGTAACTCTCAGTCCCTTGCGACAGTGTTAAGTCTAAAACAGAAAATTTACTCTAAGAAACACATCAGTTGGTCTGATACTATAGACTTATAGAGCAACACACGATTGCCGAGATTCCTTACTTACTGAACAAGCTTGACAGTTATCTTGTTAGTTTGTTCTTACACCGCGTGAAGTTTCTATGAACAGCAAGAACACGAGTTCATCAGGTGAGGAAGAGAATCTGAGTGAATAGATAAATATAAATCAATAAACATAAAAACAAATTACGGGGAGTTCCACATTGGTTACAGAGAAAGAAATAAACAGAGGAGCAGACTAATGAAACATCTGAATCGGCCAAAAATTAAATTAAACGCAGATATATTCCAAGAAGAATGTAACGCGTTACTCTAAACACCACAAAAAAATCAAAAGCAACACAAGAAAGTCGTTTAAATACATCTTGATTTGAGAAATTAATTAAAATTGTTCCACCAAATTCATATAATAAAAGATTGAAGTCAATGCGGTCAGACAAGATGATGGCGCTTTCAGTTCTTATTAAATCATTACAACTTGCTTGTAACATTATGTCACAATTCTCTGCATTTCAGTTTTTATGAGTCACCTTAGGCATTCCACAGGACGTCACAGGAACACAATGACATCACCAGTAGTCTGCCTCATTGGTGAGAGAAGCCCTTCACTTTACATCTCACAGTCGGTCCTTCCCTCACTCCTACATCTCTTAGTGAGTCCTTCCCTCACCCCTACACCTCACAGGAGTCCTTCCTCACTCCTACACCTCCGTGAGTCCTTCCTCACCCTACACCTCACAGGGAGCCCTTCCCTCACCTCACACATCAAAGTGAGTCCTTCCTTACTCCTACACATCACAGCTAGTCCTTTCCTCACTCCTACATCACAGCGAGTCCTTCCTCTCCCTACACATCACAACGAGTCCTCCTACCACCCTACACCCTCACAGTGAGTCCTTTCTCATCCCCACACCTCAGTGAGTCCTTCCCCACACTCCACACATCACAGTGAGTCCTTCCTCACCCCTACACATCACAGTGAGTCCTTCCCTTACTCCCACACATCACAGCGAGTCCTTCCCTCTCTCTCCCACACATCACAGCGAGTCCTTCCCTAACACCTTCACCTCACAGTGAGTCCTTCTCACCCCTACATCACAGTGATCCTTCTCAAACTCCTATCCATTACAATGAGTCCTTCTCTCATACTACACAACGCTGTATATTTCTTCCTTCACTCCTACAAAACACAGCAAGTCTTTCCTCAATCCAACACAACACATTGCATCCCACCACCCACACAGCAAGTCCTTCCCTTATCCTACACAACATTTCATGTCCTTCCCCACCCTAAAACACTGCAACCTCCTCCCACTCATTAGGCTGTCCTCCCCCAAGTCCTCTCACTCCTAGGCAAGTCCTCCTCACCAGGTCAGCAAATCCTTCCCTCATTTACGAACGTCACTACATGTCCTTCCCAAGGTCCTACAGAACACTACAAGTCCTTCCCCATTCCTACACACTGAAGTCCTTCCCCACTACACAATACTGCATGTCCTTCCTCAGTCCTACAGTAATCAGTAGATAAACTTTCAATACAACCGTTATGAACTATATTAACATTTATAAAGACTTGTCGAACCAACAGTAAATATTATACGCAATACAACTTCCTGTCATGTCGGGTACACTGACCTATTTTTATGCACACATTAGGAGCACTAATTAACCCCCACAGCACAGTAGTCTCAAGAGCCTCACACATCTCAGTTGATATTCAATGTAGCCACAAACAGCTCCTGGTTGGATCAGACTACCCCTGACAACCTTACAAAGTCCTTAAATCCATTATACAACCACCTATGATCATCATACAGCCCTCATTAGCCAAACAGTCCGTGGCGGCGGCATATAAGCCCTTGGGCCTCACATAACCCTAGGAGGACAAACTGCCTCAGAACATTTACAAAAAATACAATCATTTATTTTTACAATTTCAAAGTTTTGCCCACCGGAAATGGTCATTGTTACTTGTAAAGCTGTATTAATTTACTTAATTTTACAGTAAAATCATAAACAAACATCTTGTATTTCACTGCCAGGAAGATAAAATATTTTGTTTTGCAAATGATGAAACTAAAGTCCAAAATAATTGTTAACAAAATACTTCTGACTGTCTAGATACAAATCCATAAATACAAGTGTATTAGAAGTTATGCTTCTGCAACGCCACAAGTCTTTATGGTCAACTCCTATACAAATCCTTCCCTCACCTCTACACCACACTACAAGTCCTTCCCCACCACACTGCACTACAAGTCCTTCCCTCACCCTAAACCACACCAAGTCCTTCCTCACTCACACACAACACTATAAGTCCTTCCCTGTCTCTACACACACCTTCCCCACTCCTACACAACACTACAAGTCCTTCCTCACTCCTACACCACACTGCAAGTCCTTCAATCACTCATACACAACACTGCAAGTACTTCCCCACCCACACACACAACACTACAAATCCTTCCCCACCCCTACACCACACTACAAGTACTTCTTTCACACCCACACAACATCACGTCCTTCCCTCACCCTACACCACACTACAAGTCCTTCCCCACTCACACACAACACTATAAGTCCTTCCCCTGCCCTGCACCACACAACACGTCCTTCCCACCCTACAGAACACTACAAGTCCTTGCCCCCACTCCTACACCACACTGCAAGTCCTTCAATCACTCCTTCACAATTTGTAAGTCCTTCCCCACTCCTACACAACCCTGCAAGTCCTTCCTCACCCTACATAAACCACAAGTCCTTCCCTCACTCATACACAACACACAAGTTCTTCCCCCACCCTACACCACACGACAAGTCCTTCCCCTCACTATACACACAATACAAATCCTTCCCCCACCCTACACAACCCTGCAAGTCCTTCCTTAACTCCTACACAACCCTGCAGGTCCTTCCCCACCCTACACAACCCCACATTCTCACTCCTACACAACCCTGAAAGTCCTTTCTCACTCCTATACACTGCAAGTCCTTCCCTCACCCTACGCAAACCTGCTAGTCTTTCCTTAACTCCTACACAACCCTGCAAGTCTTTCCCTCAGTCCCACACATTACTACAAGTACTT